TTCGTACAAGTATTTATTATACTTATCAATTGCCCAGAAAATACTGAAATACTGAAGTATTCTTTCTCTATTGCCACTTACATATTTTCCAACTGAGGAGAGACTTGTTGGCATGTTACATTGGCATAAGAATCATTTCAAACATCTGATGTAAAACAGCACCTAAACAAACATCTGAAGCAACAATTTTGAGGTAGAAGTAGAAATCTTTGGTGTTATCAGGGAAATATAAAATTGGTTTATTTGACAGTTTGTTCTTTAAAAATAAACCAACAATCAAACTATTCTGATCTCAAATCTAGTACTTTTACATTACTACTACATTTCCTTAGCATACTAATCTATCAGGGAAATTTGGAATAAATTTACTATACAGTGAGGTTGAACTTTGGAATGAAGTAAGCAGTTTTTTGTTGTTTGGTAGAGGCATGTTGATTACTGCATTTAATTTATTCTCTTGTAAGGAGTCATTTTTTTCCCAAAGAAAAATCCTAAATCATTAATTTATTTAATAAGTAAAGACATTTCTTGGGAACACCATTCAGTTGAGGTTTTCGTAATCTTTTGCATAATTCTTTGATATCTTTACAATTGCTCATTCCAATTTGAATTACGAACTAAAACAATGTCAAAATAATAGTCAGTGTTTTTTAATCAAAAAATTACCTCTCGCATGCAGTTTTCAGTCCAAATGGCATACACCGAAATTCCATCAGGCCAAGATGGATAGAAAAAGTCAGGCCATTAGCACGGCGAAGAATTCTATTGTACGTGTTGGTTCCCAGTCTGTATCAATTGATCCTTAACTGCTGTTTTAGCGACTAGTCACAGCTGGCACAAACACTGGTGAACTGGACCCAGTGTTCCACTATGAGCTTTGCAGCTACCCTCCAATTCTTTTCAGTTCAAATCATGTACTACTAGAAGCTGACAAGCCTCCACTGGCTGATGCTTTGTGGAAGGAAATGCTTAAAATAAAAGACAGGTTACTTGAAAATACCCTGTACTATCGTGCACCAAAGTCGTGTCCACTACCCAGCCACAGTGAGGGTTCGAATTGCCTTGAGTCTGAAGTTTCGAAACAGCTGGGGGAAATGCTATGGTCGGCCAACAGATGTCGCCCACTGTAGTGTGTTGGGTGGGGTATAGAGGAGGGGGGGCCTGGATGAGAGGCAGGTTTATTTAATATTTATACGACCATAATTTCAAGCTGCCTTTTTAACTACGTTTTGTTTTACAGTTGTTTCTTTATGGTTACGAATTCATGGAACAGGTGCAGTGCCCTGGGTGCTTATTGCCGCTCAGGTCACAATGATACTTTAAAAATGGAATATATTAAGGATAAAAGTGAAATATGCAAGGATCAGGGTGAAGGGCCTTGGTCAGCTAGTTTTACTCAGCGACCAAGTCACAATTTTGTTGTTATTCCGACAAAGAGATTATGGTAATATTTATTTATATTCCACCCATCCTTTGCTTAATAAATATTTGTGATAATATGCAATATAATAAAATTATATACTTATGTTAAAAAGAGTGGAGTGAAAAAGTTATCAGTATTGTAAAATAGTATTCAGACTTAATCTAGGTGACTGTTCCAATTCTTCCAAGTTCCAGTGTCTAAACACCCCACCACAATATGCAAGTTTCATATATTTTGGAGTGTGCTCAGTTACCGTTAATATTGTGTGCTGAACAACATGAGCATTTCAATGATGGTAGCAATTGTAACTATATAATTATATTGTGTTACAAGACAACACATTCCACGACGTGTCATACAGATCATTGTATACCACACAATACATAATTTGTGGCTCTTAAGTTACTTTGTTATGAATTTTCATGCGATATAGTTTAAGACATCATTAAGGACATGGATTTAAGATAACACTGTAGGTGAGTTAATATATATTAATTGTATCCAAACAATACACCAATACACACATCTTAGTATTTGGTCCAGCCACCCATTGCATTCAGGACTTCATCAAAGCAATTAGGGATGGAGTCGACGAGCTTCAGGCACACCCCTGGTCGTCGACGTATACTCTGCCACACGTCGTAAGCTTTGGCCTCTATTGCTGCACAGGTTCGCTGCTCCCCATTATCCCAATCACGTTTCATCATGGCCCAAATATGTTCAATCGGATTAATATCACATCCTAGTGTTGGCCAGTCGATGACCTCAATTTCAGGGTGATCCTGGAGGTAGTTCTTCACTATGTTGCTGGTATGAATGGGACTGTTGTCATGAACCAGCCTGATAGTATGGGGGGGCTGGAACTGCCATAGGAATTAGCACTTGCTCCAGGATGACTACATACTGCTCACCAGTGAAATGGCCATTGATCTTGGCCAGTTCACCTGGCCCATGTGCCCACGTCCACCCCCAGAATGACACTAACACCCTACCACTGGGGTGTGGCGCCACGTCTCGCTTGTTTGGTGTTGGCAAACCTACTGCCCTGAAACGAACTAAATCCAGTATGTACTTCCGAAGCAAGTCTATAGAAGCAGATCGCTGTGATATAATCAAGGCTGGGGAAAACGCATTCATATTCTTGTATCATGGTGAACCTGGAGATACTCTAGACAAAATCAGATTAAGACTCTTCCACCAATTGGTATCCTCAAGTAAAACGCGTGTAAAGCCACAGAACCTGTCTCCAATATCTGCTGCTGCCCAATATCACAACCTTCGTGTTTACCAACAAGATCAGCAATGGTCCGAGAGAGAGATTTACCTACAGAGGAATGGGGATGGATGATACATGACTATAAGATGGTCTTGTCGCCACAGATTTACAGCCAGTTATAGTCTACCTTCTGGATGTAATAAATTATACCTGTAAAGTAAATATGACACTCGTCGTTGTGGATGCAGGAGGTTGGATTGCAGTGTTCTCTAACATGTTGGTCTATCCCAATGCCATGTTTTGATAATCCAGCTTACTGAATAATGCATTTTTTTTAGACTTAACGCTTATATGCTTTTGGATTATTCATAAGTCTTAGTAATATATAATTACTGATTCCTTCTGATATACATGCTATACAAAATTTTAACAGTTCATAATTATCTGACTGCATATTTTGCACGATATCCGTAATATTAATCTTCCTTGGGTGAAGCAGTTTGCCACTTGTGCATTATGTGAGTTTATTGCACGTTGATTGGGTAAATTGTAGTTATTATGTGTGTTTTTGTCACCAAGATTAAGGATAAATAAAATATAACGTGATGTGCGATATTACTAGAATGACTAAACTCAATTGAAAGAAGATCAATGTAACTTCACTATGAAAGTCATATTGGAATTCAGATTTGAAATGACAAGCTATTTTTTCCCGTATAGGGATAAATGAATCAGTTACTCACCTGAATATTGAGATGAAACATTGAAGTTAACGGCTCTAGCATCCTGAGCAGCTGAAATAGTGACAACATTCAGGAGGTTACTGTGGCGGCCTTATTGGATTTCAGTATGTTCCACCGTTTCGATTTGGGTTGATATTTATTATGCTATTCAGTGTCAACCTGAGATCTACGAATCACTATTTTGAGAAGTATTGGAATTTGTGGTGGGTATATCAGCAGGCTCAGAGCGCATGAGGTCGTGGGCGCATTTATTAACCAGGACCCTCACACATCTCCTCAGTCTCTCCTTCTTACCTCCTTATCCCCCTCCGTGTACACATTAAAAAAAATAATAGCAGCAGAAAGCGTAATAAAGAAAGAAGGAATATGATTGATTAAAAGAAGGAAAATAAGTGGAAAAGAATAAGAACAAAGAATTAAAGCAGAAGAAATAAACAGTAAATAAACAGCAATACGTGAAGGTCTCCAGGAATACGTCCACAAGTCCCATATATCACATACATACGCAGGAAGATGTAGAGGTTCCAGCAGTACCTGTCTTTTTGGTTTTGTTTGGGAATTAATAAAACTAAAAACAACATTTCCATTCATTCCCACATTTATGTACACAAACTTTACATTGACTTGTATTGGGTTCAGTAAATCTAACGTAGAATTCTTGGGCTGACAACACACATGGATACAAAAGGTTGTAAAACATTTTGAAACATTTGCTAAATGCTTTTGTATAATGTTCCAGTACGATCACACGTTTATCTTATTAATACTATTCATATGTTAACATAAGTATTGAAAATATAGTCCGCCAACGTACAGTTTACCTTCAGAATCTCAACACAAGAAAAGAGAAAGGTCCCATGAGACTGTGTAATAGAAACTCTTTATCACAATGAATATAATGACATTTTGTACGATTTTTATGCAAAGTTTCTGCTGGAGTGTCATTATCGTTAAACAAAAATGCTGGCTGTTACTGAGGAAAAATACATTATTCGTGCTCTGCAACTATGGTCAGTAATTGTTCTGTCATGCTAAACACAGAATCAAATAACGTTCATAAAAGTGAAGAGGAAATAAAGAGCTCAAGAGTTTCCTTTGCACATTCTCATTAAATTCAATATGATAAATAAGAATGATATCCTTAATCTTCACCTGCAGATTTTTACAGTACATAAACGATTAAATATTTTGACTTCTGGAAGCATCAATTCATTGTTTGAGCATAACTAACACAAGTACAAAACTGACGATAAACCTAAATCGCATTATCAGTGTGAGAATGTAGCGTATGTTAGTATGTATTAGTGTGAGGGTAGTGTGGACCAGTGAAGTGTGTGTGTGTGTTTGTGTGGACCAGTGAAGTGTGTGTGTGTGTGTTAGTGTGGACCAGTGAAGTGTGTGTGTTAGTGTGGACCAGTGAAGTGTGTGTGTTTGTGTGGACCAGTGAAGTGTGTGTGTGTGTTGAGTGTGGACCATGTGTGAAGTGTGTGTGTTTGTGTGGACCAGCGAAGTGTGTGTGTTTGTGTGGACCAGTGAAGTGTGTGTGTGTGTTAGTGTGGACCAGTGAAGTGTGTGTGTGTGTTAGTGTGGACCAGTGAAGTGTGTGTGTTAGTGTGGACCAGTGAAGTGTGTGTGTTTGTGTGGACCAGTGAAGTGTGTGTGTTAGTGTGGAGTAATGGTGTTGTGTAAATGTATAATGTGGATGAGTGGTGTTATGCAGTATAAGAGCATTGTGAAACAGTTGTGTTGTATAAGTTTAATGTTAGTGAATAAGAGATGTATTTTGTTAAGGACTAGTTGTGGTGTTGTGTACTGTGACTATAGTCGGGGAAGGTGAGGTGAAAAATATAGACAAGGGTTATGTGAGCTTGGACTAGTGGTGAGTGAAGGTGGCGCAGGGTGAATAATCTTGGCTTGGGAAACATTGGATGTAAGAAACATGTTTGACGTACAACAGTTACAACCACCTGCTTCTCTCTTTTACCCACACCATGTTTATGGGATGGTCGTCTGTGGTGGCCATAGAGAAGCCGTCGGTGGTGGCAACATGGTGGTTGTGGTTGGTGGCTGTGTAGTAGGAGGGGGTATCATAGCGGCTGTGGTTGGTGGTAGTTGCATCTTGCTGGTCGTGGATTGTGGTGGCGGTGGCAGCACCGAGGTAGTCATTGGTGGTAACTGCACCGTGGTAATCGTGGGTGCTGTAGCACCGTAGTGATCGTTGGTGGTAATAGCACAGTGGTGATCGTGGGTGGTGATAGCATCGTGGTATTCATGGGAGGTGGTAGCACCTTGATTGTGATGGGTGGTAATAGCACCGTGGTGGTGATGGGTGGTTGTTGTATCGTGGTGGTGGTGGGTGTGTACAAACACGAGGGTCACAGCCACCACCAAAAGAACGCCCAGCGCTCCAGGAGGTTCCCTCATTATCGCTGACCCAGTGTGCATCGCCGCCGGCTGCTCCTCTGTGTATAAATATCAATAACAACAATAGCAATAACAATAACGATTAAAAGACAAAAATAAATAAATATTATACTACTAGTACTACAAATAATACTAATACTAATATAAATAATACTATTACTAATAATACTAATACTACAACTACTACTACCACTACTAATACTATACTACTATTAATAATTGTAATTATAGTGATATTTTTTATAGTGAATAGCCCACCCGGGCACAGGTCATCGACCCATAATGGGGCCTGGGGGCGAAAAAAAAAATAGTGAAAAATAAAAACTAGAGGAGAAAAAGATTACATTAATCTACACCACGAAGATGCCAGAAAACCAGCTTTTTGAGGTGAGACAGACTGTATGAGTATGGAAACACAGAAGAAGGCAGAGCATTCCACAGTTTGGCTGTGTGAGGAAAGAAGGATGTACTATAACGGGTTATTCTAGGTGACCGACATCCACAGAAAAACGGTGGGCACGGCGGGCAAGACGAGTGTTACAAGCCCACGGCATTTTCTTGCGGCGAAGAGAAAGGGAAGAGATATTATTGACTAAAGGAGAAGAGTGAAAAAGATGAACTGCCTTTGATTCCACCCTATCTAACAGTTGGACAGAAGAAGAGCCACCCCAGATATGAGAGCAGTACTCAAGTTAAGAATCCCTTATAAACTTGAAGCAACTGCTCAGGAGTGAAGTAGCTACGGCATCTGTACAGCATTCCCAGCTTTCAGGAGGCAGCTTTAGCAATGTTGTGGATGTGTGGCTTCCATGACATATTAGAGGAAATGGTGAGGCGTAGCAAGTCTATTTCAGAATTTGGCAAAATGGTTGCATCCTGAAATGTGATTGGTGGGAGATCATTTATTTTGAAAAGTGTAATTGGTAAATACTGTTTTATTACTATTGAATTTGACCTAATTTCTCCCTACCCATTCGGAGACGCTGCACAGATTCACATTGGTAGAAGAAACAATATCAGCTGTTACCTTCTGGTGTTACCTTCCATTTACCTGTTGTAATCACTGATGAAGATTTTTATCGAGTCAGTATTAAAGGTACACTAGAAGTAACATAGATAATTGCTTATGGGTATAGTTTTCAAGACCTAAATGGTCTTTTCTCCATTTATTAAGAAAATAAACTATTGCACAATAACTAAGATATCACCGCAACTAACACTGTGAGCGTTGATAAAGGGTGAAGCTTATGTGTAACGTGTTTTGTTGAAAACACATCTTGCGTGGGTGAGAGACAAGAGACAGACTGGGTAGAAGCAGGATAGTTATTGTTGATCCAGCAGTCAAGCTAAGGGCACTCAGTGGAAGACACTCACATGTCCAGTTGATGATTACTCATGGCTCATAGGCTAGTTACCGTGGGTGATGATATGATGTAAACATAATGTATGTAACCCTCATATATGTAAGTATTTCTGTCTGTTTGACAGGTAATACATCGCTCGGCCACCACCATCCAAGTTCTTAAGCCACATGTCTCAACCAGACATCTAGCATAAAAAAAGAAAGAGGCTGGTAACAAGACAGAAAGGGAAAGACCTGGATTCTGGCAGGAGTGGTCACTCGGCCGCTCAGTAAGCTCTGTCCATCGGTGCATGCCAGATGAGCATCATTTAATTTACAATCTTACATATCACAGGGAGGGGATAATATCGGCTAAACTAAATGTTATAATATTGATACATAAGCAACAACAAATGGACTAACACAAAATTGCTACCTGGCAACTTAAGTGTGAGGCACTACTGGGTCATGCACACCTACACCCCTGGACAGGTCACGACTGCACCCATGACTTCTGGTGGATGATGAAATACCTCGCCGCACCCAAGCACAGTGGGCCACGTAGTATGATGCAATAATATAGGTAAGTCCCTCACAGTATTGATAGAAGAAGGTATGGTCGCATCCCCGTTACAGCCTACAGTTTTGTCTACCTTGCTTTCTAACCCTAATATAGCAAGCACAGTATAGGTTATAAACAGTAGCCACCCAGGGAAGTACTACTGTCATGACAGGAAGGCTTACCCTTACTTCAGTGCTCTGAGCTAGGGTTAAGGCCTATTCGAGATCAGTGCATAAAACGTTTTGAGAATAATGAATTTTTGCGCCAATATGCCAATACTTTTAGTTTCTGTGCGGTATATTTCATGTTCCCTGGCTTACTGATCACTTCCCCAGCCGCCCAAAGGTCATAGTTACACTCTTACCGCCAATAGGTCTACATCTCCCACATCATCATAGGCACACACCAACACGCCATCACTTCTCTATGTTACTACTCGCAACACGAAATGTTAAGTGTAATCTTTACTGACTTTTTTTCATAATATAAATATACATAAAAAAATATTTATATGGATTTACTATTCCATGCACAATTGTCCATCCACCGCATTCCCATCACACAGCCAACAAAATGATGGTTTTACAATAAAGTATCGTAATATCCATTGCTGGAGCTCCACATTCCCGTCTACAGATAATCAATTAAACTGGATTTAATGTATCTTTTAAATACTCAAATTGCCAAACTAATTTCTGTCATCTCACTGGCGGTGGTCTCGGTTTATGTAAAGTCTAGGAATGTCTTCAATCTAATCTCTAACTTTTCCTCTCCTCTGACTTCTCCTTTACACACTCTCCGCTACTAAAGATGCCAAATACTTCTGTCGTGTAGTTCGCTTTTCCTAACGCACCCATAATAATGTTTAGATATTTCGGCATCCACAACATAATATAGTTGACAAACTCTATCACAATGACCACCTCATTTAACCCTTCACAACTGATCAACATTCCCACGCGGATTTCTAGATATTGCTGAACACGGTAGACACCTGATATATATCTGTTTATTTCCTTATCCCAACGATCACTCTCTTCAAGTTTCATCTCCACATGGCACTTTTGACCCTTTACTCGTCTGTGCGACCAACTCTTATTTTTAAAGGTAGTCCAATAAAAGTTCACAACTAGAAAGGATTTCGGAATTTCGAATAATATTTACATTGACCGTTCTTCTTTTTTGATGAACATAATATGAACAGTATATCATCAAGGTTGAAATGTATGAATTTAAACCCAATAATATATTTCAAAACGTGTAAACTCTCCATCCCACTCGTTGTAAACAAGATTAAGACTTACAGACTATGCAGTTCAAATCCATTTACTGTATACAAACACGACTTATACAAGAATAATATAATGTATAGTTTCACGCGAGATTTTGGTCTAAAAGTTATTTCTAGAATTATTAATTTTGGTTATGATTGAATTTTCTCCCAACAACATTATTTGTTTCCTACGATTAAAAGTTAAGTATGATGAAACATTTCGATTTATTGAAGACGCCTGTGTTGACAAGAGAATTTAGGGTGAACTAAATAGATGACCCACAGATGAACTAAATACAAGCACATTTAAGTGACAGAAAGTACGAATTGTACGAGTGGCATTGATATACTGTAGTGAACTCTCGGTAATGTTGCTCAGAGTACAGAGAGGCATGCAAGTATCCCAGGTGGCACGACTTGGTATGTATAGTAAGATGCAATGAGCTTGAAATATAAGACGAGTATGGAGACGTGCAGAATACTGAGGACGTGAATGAGGATGATAGAGGGAAGGTGTGTGGTGATCGAATAGACATTCAAGACGTGAGGGAGGGTGGTGGAAGGCAGGTGTGTGGTGAGTTAGGATGGGAGATACTGACCATTCAAGACATGGAGGAGAGTGGTAGCTGAATGGAGGTTGGAGGGCAGACAGGTGTAGTTGCCAGCATCAGAGGGCTCGGCGTTGGAGATGATGAGCGTGGAAATGATGCTCATCTCACTGCCTTGGCCGCCCCGCCTGGATACCGTCATCTTTACCCTCGGGTTGTCGTACTCAAGCAGACGTTCCCCCAAATGGTACCAGAAGATGTAGTCTGGCAGCTGCACCGTGGAGCTCACCTTACACTCTAGCCTGGCCGTAGACCCGCTCCTCACGTACTTATCCGACGCCCCCTTTACCTCAACTTGTGGCACTGTGGGAGATGCTACTGTCACAACCTGCATCAGTGCTATAGAGGGTCAGAAGAGAAAGTTGTGGTTATGGTAGATGATAATGCCACCACCAGTTGTACTTTAAAAGGGCCAGGAAAGTAAACTGTGATTGTGGGACATGACATTGTCACCACCTGTTAGAGATGAGAGTTAGTTATGGCTTTATAACCATTGATGGCATTGTAGCAGATGGTCCTGTCGCCACTTGAACCTTTAGAGTGAAGGGAAAGTTAGCTACAGTTGTTTAGAGATCATGAGTGATTGTAGAATATGACTGATTGTACACTGAAGAGGTGTAAGCTGTCTAGTAGCCCCTTAAGTGTGCAGGAGAAGTCAAACACTTAAGTATAAAAATATGGATCGCTTTTAGGAACATGTTATAGAGAGACACAACAGAAGTGTACACAAACACCACACCCTGATAGTGTTCTCTCCAATCCCCCGCTTAAGTAATCCACAATCAGGAGTGACCTGAGTTGAGACTGTGACAGAGTGGGAAAATACAGTCTCAAGTATCGACCCTACTCCGACTGACAAGGTTGTAGCTCTAAAGAAAGTGCTAAATAGTATTTTGTGAGGGTAAGACTGGATGTGGGAAAGTGTGTGGTTGAGAAAAGCAGGTTTAACTGCATAACTATGTACAGCCAATGCAATGGGCAAACCTGTGAAAGTGTTATGTGATCCATAGTGTAGAAACCTAAACTTAATGCTTACCAAATTACTCTCCACTTTCATTATAACCTTTTGTGTCGAGTATTGGGGTTGTCTTTCGCTAAACTAGTTTTATGGAATTGAGGTGTAATTTAAATTTAAGTAATTTAATTGGAAACAACTGAACCACATTTATATATATTGTGTATGTATTGTCATTCATGTTTGTTGACATAGCTGATACTACTCTGCATATCCTCGTTACCTTTGTTCATCACCATGTTTCACACAGTCCATTATTCATTGTTTGTCATGAATATAATAATCTTTAGCATGTTAGAGCGATTACTCGATGAGATTTATTACATTATTGTATCAGACTTTGTCTCCTCTTGGGAGTGTTTTTGATTCGAGTGTGTATTCAGACTAATAAAGAGTTGACTTACATTGAATTTGACATTTTTATTTGATTCCCCATACCTAAAAACCTACACCTACAGTACATACCAACACCATTTCCCTAGGTCACCCAGATCCAATGTGATGAGAGATTTTACGCAGCAGTGATTTGTGGCGGCCGTCTTGAATTTTGAAGTAAGCAAAGCAATAATATGTGATGGCGTTTAATATGTGTATTTATGGTGTTAAAGGAGCGCTTCCTGTAAAAATCAGCTTGTTGCGAATTTTTTCCCAAATCCCTTAACGCATTTTGAGGAGCAAAGCTTAATGTGCAGCAATTGGGCAAACTTACCAACGGCTATAACTCTGATATTACTTACAATAGGCAAGCTGACTTATAACAAACAAAGGAAAACTTAAAAACAAGAGGTCAACTTATTGTAACAGTTGGGTTAATATATCTGATGAAGGGGTGATGGAGTGAGGGGAGGTCTCAGACAAAGACGAGAGGAAGGGAGGCAAGGGTGAGGAAGGCTTGGGGTGGGGTAGGGAAGGAAGACTGACCACAAGAGGAACCATTGGGGAATTAAAGAGGCACTCGTGTAATGAATAGCCCTTCAACTAACCTTATTTACTCTACCACTTTCCAATTTTCAATCAAAGAAAGATTATTAAAATGTGAGCGGTTGGCCACTGATAAAAGTACGGTAGCATTACCGTCTGAACAATTTCATCTCTCGTCAAAAAAAAATAGATAAGAAGAAGTAATGTATTCAGAAAAACACTTTACAAGGAAGAATGTATAAAAAAAATGAATGAAGAAATATTGTACAAAAGTATTGATTAATCTAAAATAAACTAAATTACCTGTATGCATGTAAACAAAATAAAAATCTTCATCAATCAATATCAATCAATACCAGCTGATATATAACCAAGTTCTCACCTATGACATTGAGGTGGACGAGCATGGCCATCTTGGGCTCGGTAGAGATCTGACACTCGTAGGCACCAGCATCACGCTCCTGTACATACTTGATGACCAGCGTCCAGGTGGAGGTGTCCGGCGTGAAGTGTACTGTAAGTCTGTCGTCCCTCACAAATGTATAGCGGTCAACTGTTAAGATATCTGCATCCCTCTGTCTCACCCACGATACCTGAAACACGCTCACTCATTTTACACCAGCTCGTATCTTATCTATACAATACTCTAGCACACAACACCCATACCCCATCATACACCTGCAACACTCACACCCATCTTATAACCTGCAACACCTACACCTAACCTATATCTGCAACACTCATATATCCAATACCCACATTTGCAACATCCATATTCCACCTTACGTTTACAATGCAAGACCCACACCCAACTACGACTAGGTACACCCACACCCTTACTTAAACCTTCAACCCAATACCCCAACTTAGATTTATATCACCCAAACTCCAAATTATACCTGCAATCACCCATACCCAAACTTACACCTGTAACACTAATTTACACATGTAACACTCACACCACACATTATACCTGCAATACCCACACCCCAACTTACACCTGTAACACCTACACTCCAAATTACTCCTGTAGAAGAGCTGTGGTCCAGCACAATGTTCGGGAAAAGAGGAACGAATGATTTACTAATAAAGTCCAAGAAAGGCAAACAGTTGCAGATGCGGGATTTTAATATATTCCAACAAAGCGGCGAAGGTGTGGCTATTGGGGGAGGCTGGAGGCCAATTTTTAAGAAAAAAAATAGTAGTATGGTGTGTGTATTAAAATAATCAAATGTTCCTATATATGAATAAATTTAAAAAAATTTATACTAACAAAAGCGATAAAGGTACCACATCGGACAAACTGACAGCTGTGTTATACGCCTTCAGCGGACAATCATCCCCATTTAACGTGATTTGTTCCTATTCGAAAATCAGACATATCTTAATATGTAAACGGTCATGTAGATAGTCATGATAAAACAATAAGGAAATATCATGAGTACTACTGTGCGTGAACTAACCTGACGTAACCTAACCTTACTAAATATGGTTTAGGTATGTTTTTTTTTTTACCTTTCATGAACTGATTATCATAAATTGAAGCAATTAACAGAAAAAATCTATTTATTTGGCATAAACGACAATTATATGTTAAAGTTTTACTCTGACAACTAAACCTATTCAGCGTGGAACACAAACTCAAGCACATATACAGTATACAGGGAGAGAGTGAAAATATGGTAGATATCTAAAATTGCACTGAATTCTGAGTTACGTAGAGATCAAGAGTGACTCACCGACTTGTCTCCTAGCTGATTCACTGTACAGGGAAGGTAGGCGATAGCTTCCTGGTGAACTGTGATGTTCCTGGGCTGATGACTCGGGAAGTATGGCCCCATGTAGAGCCCCGTACCAGCTCCTGCCTTGCCAACCACCGTTCCTGGGAGAGTGAACTACTACTGAGTCTTCACACCTCTTCGTAAACTATAATGCAAAATGCTACATATACGCCTAGGATAACACTACATACCCTTGATAACACTACACATCCTAGGCAACACACACACACACACACACACACTTAAGAAACTTCTCAATGAATTCTATCCACAAATTTCTCTTACACTAGTCTTCAAAACCCAGAGTTCCATTAAAAATAAAAAAATGAAAAACTAACACACCATACCCACACACTTGCAATCCTCAGCTGTTTATCAATTTACGTGTGCCTGCTGTAGGACACCTTACAGTATATAGGTAAAACAGAAAGACACTTGATGATTCGCATCCACGAACACTTGGTCCGTTCCGTCCGAACAGGGTAGTTAATCAATAATCATACAACCACCACATTCAGCTATCCATAACCATTATATACACATAATTCTTACTGATATTTTCCATTTACTTCCTTGTTCCTACTGTAACAGGTTATTAAAGTAATATTGTATCGTGTTATTATCACAGTCATATGCCTTCCAATATGTTTGAAAATAGTTCACGCAAGATCTGTTCTACGACCCCGCACTTCTTACTGGATCTCAAGAAAGCCTGATTTATATCGTCGGCGAAAGTTCAAATAGCATATGAAACCTTCCCCTAAGAAGGAGCCACTCAGTCGTGAAGTTCTACCCGCCTCTCAAAACCCCTTCCCATCTATCCTCTGCACATCAGGTGATCGTCGTGGCGGGGAGATTCGACCAATAATCTATTAGGAAGGAATAATAACGTCATCCACAAGCCACGCCCATACGAGGTTATATGAATCCCGCACAGTCCGAGGAGCGTGGTTTCACTCCCTCACCTGCCAAGCTTACTTTATAAACCCATACAGTATTCGGCTGACTGATCATCTCTACAGTGCTGTACTACGTCTCCATTGGGTGTATCTACGAGCCCTCCATTTGTCCAATCTACATATCGGCTCATCTGTAACGCTAAGGCTATTACTACTTCTCTTATCCGTCTAAGAGCCCCCGAACTTTGCTGTGAAACGCCGATCAACCAGTGACGAGACAATCGAATCTTATATACTTTCATTTACTTGTTTATTCATATGGCTGTCGTCAGTACAAGTGGATTTTACCATAAATGAAGTGGATATTATTATCGTTTCGGTCATCCAGTAAATTTTAGGATTTTATGTTTTGGAATCAGTAAATTTAGACAATTCTAAAATTCGTTTCTTCTGTAGTAATGCTTCTGTAAATGATTAGTTTCCGAGAAAATCCCAATAAATTGTTGGAAAATCATCGTATTTTTTCTAAGTTCTTGTTTATGTTATCACCGTCCCAGAGAGCTCCTGTGTGTTTGTTTGTTGGTTACAATGCTGCATTACGTATGCGCAGTTGTTCTTTGGACGTTGATTGGTGGGTATGATTTTGGATCAACCAATCACAGCTCGGTATAGACCCTCGCCATTATCCACTTGAATTTCAATTTATTTCAAAGATATCTCCCTTGTACAATGGCTGTGATTTCAATTACTTCCAAAACAGGAACAGGGTGTTCTACCTACAGAAGTAATTTGTGCCTCATGAGGCTCCAAGTCCCACTTAATCACTTACATCATGCCTTCTTCATCAGTGCAAACGCCCCAACACTGGAAAATGACCCAGAAATTAATGTACTCATCAGTGATGAACGTGCTGCTTTAACTGACTGGCAGAACAACCCTTGGTCTCGAACCAAAGCTGATACCTACTGCAAGAAGAAAGCGGCGGCCCAGCGTGAACTTCGCAATCTAAAGAACGGCTGGTTTAAAAATAAAGCATGTGAAATGCCAAAACTTGCGGATCAACACAAGATGTGCACCCTTTTTAATTCCACTAAAACATTTTATGGGCCAATCACTCATGGCACAGCCCCCTCTGATCATCAGATGGGAACTCCCTAATTAACGATGAAGAAGGCATCCTTCAGCATTGGAAAGAGCACTACCAAACGCTGTTCAATCGAAAAACCAATGTGGATGTCCTGACTACCCAGCAGGTCCCTCAGCATCCATAGCTGACCCACCTCAGCTATCCTCCATCCCTGGATGAAGTAGCTACTGCCATCAAACAGATGATAAATAACAACACCCCAGGGCCTGATTGAATCCCAGTTGAGGTGTATAAAGGAGGAGGACCTCTGCTTACCAGCCGTCTCCACTCTCTCCTGGAGAATATATGGGAAAAGGAGGAAATTCCCCAAGCTCATAAAGACGCCTCCATCGTCAATATTATAAGAACAAGGGAGACCGGTCAGACTGTGGCAACTACCATGGGATCTCGCTGCTGTTCATAGCTGACAAGATTATCGCCCGAGTCCTAAACAAACTTCTTCCTATGGCGGAAAACTTCCTCCCTGAATCTCAATGTGGCTTTAGACCATCACATAGCACCACGGACATGATCTTTGTTGCCTGCCAGATACAGGAAAAGTGCAGAGAACAGTGCCATGACTTGTACATGGCATTCATTAACCTAACCAAGGCCTTCGCCTGGGTCAACAGGGAAGCCCTCTGACGGACCCTTAGCCGTTTAGGCTGCCCACCAAAATTCATTGTCATTGTGAGGCAACTACACGATGGCATGAACGGCAGTGTCTTGCACAATGGCACCCAGTCTGAGTTCTCCCCATTCAAACAGGGCTAAAACTAGGATGTGTACTGGCACCAACTTGTTTCCATTTTCTTGGCTGCCTTCCTTACTCGTGCCAGTGCCAATTTAGCCGGCGGGTTGGAAATCGAGTACCGGTTGAACGGTCTTTTCAACATAAGACGACTTCAGGCAGGAACAAAGGTGTCCGCAGCTTCCATTATTGAACTTCAGTATGCAAACGACCTCACCTTTGTCGCTCACACTGAACGCGACCTACAGGAGATCCTGAACACCTACGCAGATGTTGATGCACACTTAGGCCTTGAGGTGAATGTACATAAAACTCAGATTCTCTTTCAGCCTGCCCCTGGTTCAGACACACCTCCACCATCCATTCAGCTTAATGGTACTACCCTCTCTAATGTTACCCACTTTCGGTATCTCGGCTCCCACCTGTCCACCACCGTGGACATCGATGAAAAGATTCAACATCGGATCAGATGTGCATCTCGTGCCTTTGGCAGACTCCATACCCATGTCTTCAGCCGTAGGTAGCTAAAAATATTCACAAAGTTGCACGTATATCAAGCAGTGGTTCTCCCCATCCTTCTATGTAGCAGTAAGACTTGGGTTACATACAGGAGGCACCTCAGGGCACTTGAAAACTTTTATCAACGTAGTCTATGTTCCATCTTCCGAGTTCGCTGGGAAGACAAGAGAACAAATGCCAGTATTCTCATTGACACCAACTGTATGAGCATCGAGGCTACTGTAATGATTGTTTATCATACCATAGCTTACAGCCCAGAGAAGAACAGCACATATAAGAATAAGTAAATGCGCAGGTGTACATACTGGTAAGTTGACCCACCCTTCGTAGTTAGAGTGAGATTTAGACCTGACCCAGCAAAGGTCACGTTCATAATGATGCAGAGTTCTCACCACTGCGTGATTAGTCAAACCGGCGTCATGACCGTGTTAACACAAGAAACTACACTCCAGCCTGCACCACGCACCTCATCAAACACAGCTGTCTCGACACACCCATATTAGTGTTAATTAGTGACGACATCTTCCTGCCTGATACCTCCAATAGAAGGGGCTGACAGCTCCTTCCCGGTGCCGACAGGGAGAGACAGAACTAAGAGGCGGACGGAGTCACACTTGTCACAAGTGGAGGTCGGGAGGGGGACTTCCCTCCTCAGCACCGAATCACCAGGTAACAGAGTCTCCCACAGGAGACAGAGTCCAGCACTCGGCAACAGCTTCCCCAGCCGCTGGGCCTCCCTCAGGTCACACGTGAGTCATTGTCAGAGCTATCCATAGGGTGAGTTACTTACGGTGGGAAGTGTATCCATTTCATGTTTGTGTCCGGGAGTCAGTGTCTGGTAACAAATATATTGATCAATTAATGTGTCCATGCCATTGAGTTAACTAATAAATAGCTGTACTTGGAAGTGATAGTTAGAGGCTTTCCCCTAAGAACATATTAACAGTTAAATAAGTAATCGGCCACGCTTCCAAACTTTCCTCACTTTACAGTCACATTTCCAACAACTCTTACTATATTTTTATCTGAGTTACCCTCATTAATTACCATTTTCCATGAACAACTAGGTTGGACTGGCCATGTTACTTGCATGGACGACAGTGGACTGCCAAAGCAACTACCTTACAGTCACTTAACGAATAGTAAACGTAATGCTGGCGGGCAACTGAAAAGGTATAAGGATAGTCTTAAGACAAACCCGAAAAAGTGCTAAATCGACCCCCTCACCTGGGAGACGTTCATTCCACACCGTAATGCTTGGAGGAGCACCACACGATAAGGTGTCAATACTTTCGAGCTAGCCCGACTGCAAACCGAGGCAGATAAGCGTCAACGCCGGAAAGATGTTGCCGCCCCTCCCGCACTAGATGCAGCGTCCCCATGAGCAAACATCTGTGGACGACTCTGCCGGTCGCGTATCGGCCTCTCTAGTCACCCCAGAGCTCACCAACGAAGGTGACATCCTTAATAACTCATATAATTTTACCATAGCTGGATGATCGTCATATTTTATTCCGAAGGACAGCAAAGTGGTAGTTAATAATCCCGTAACAAAAGACCCATATAATAATTAAATTGTATATATATATATATATATATATATATATATATATATATATATATATATATATATATATATATATATATATATATATATATATATATATATATATATATATATATACTGTTATTAATATTAAATATGTGATATGTTAAATAAAGATGAGACAAATAGAATATAACTTACCTAGAATGAGATAAGCAGCCAGAGGCAAGAAACGCCAACTCTCCATCTCCATGCTTGTATGTCTTGTTTTATTTTAAATTCTTTATTTAAAATCTGTTCCTATTGTTATTTATCAAGGTATTTGTCTTTCCAGTTTTGATATTTATAGGAAGAAATATGTATGACGTATACAGTTATATAGAAGAGTGTGGCACTTACACTTTTTAAGTATCATTACAACACATTATTATGATATTGACTGTAGCCTGTGACTTAAATACAAACATTTCTTTTCTACTGCTTGTCATTTTAGAATGTTCAGTGTTTCCGGTAACAGATTAACGAGCAACGAACTGTACGTGATTATTGAGAACAGCCACTATCAGTACGGGTAGACGTCCTTCATATGTAGAAATGAGCTTCAAATTCAGTATTCAGGGAAGAGTCTTTGTTCTTCACCAGTGCTATGTTGTGGTATGAGTCCTTACCTCGTTACAATTGTTTTCTCCTCACACTGACGATTCATTCTCTCCTTATGTGAGGTGAGCCTGACATCACTCACAAGCAAAGAAATCCTGAAAGAAAATAAAATAAGAGTTAAGTTATCGGTAGAAAGTCGTTGTGACTATTACGATCTTATCATCCAATGAGCTAGTGAGAAAACTCTTTCCAACTTCTCAAAAGCATCTGGAAAATATGACAATCCAAAATGAGAAAGCTACTCACTCCCCAACAAGATGACAAGATATTTACTAATCTGCTAGTGCCCCTTCCCCCAGTCACCGAGGTTTTCTTCTTATAGTCCCTCAAGATCCGTTAGCATAGTTCTTAACCACTCACCTCCTACCCATATTCATTACGTCTTTATCTACAAAGGTTATTATTATCAGTAAAGGCTTCACAGTCTCAACTTTAGGGAACTCTACAAGATGACATACTACGCAATTATGTACAAGATATTAAGAGATTTCGCTACAACCCAATAACCGAAAAAAAACTTATCTAATAGGAATCTATGATCATAGAAAGCACTCCAAGTAGTTAACTATTTTACCCCGGACCCCGCTGTGGGGGCTACCGCTCGCCCCGGACCCCGCTGAGGGAGCTACCGCTTGCCTCAGACCCCCTAGCAGCCTAGCTAAAGCTACTGTCACACTACAGTTTTCCGCGCAATAAATCCACGATAACATTTCATCCACAGGCAATAAGTCAACGGTACGACCCGCACACTGGTCACACTGGCGAAAGGAACCATTGGCCAGGCGCCTCACTCGTACAACTAGTTTGAGCTCAGTTGGAGATGGCTTCATTGTGTGTTTCTATGGCAGCATTAACCACTTTAGTGAGATGTGGTCCTGTTAAAGAAGATCAACACGAAAAAGAAACTCTTGTAGCGTCCAGGCGATGCTTGTTTACAAAAGTGACACAGAGTGAGGGGCGATATGATCGAGGTGTATAAATGGAAGTCAGGGCTAAACGAAGGTGATATAACAAAGGTGCTCAGATTATCCAACCTGGAGCGAACTCGTAGCAATGGTTTTAAATCAGATAAAGTTAGATTTAGGCGCGAGATAGGTAAACATTTTTTTAGAAATAGAGTAGTGGATGAGTGGAACAAGTTACCAAACATCATCATTAACTCGAATACGCTGGATAGCTTCAAACATAATACCAAGATGCACAACCTTGGGACCCATGTAATATGTGTGTAAAGTTAAGTTCTTTAATTGCTTTCGTTTTGGAATTATGGCTGGAACAGACACTCATAGGCAGAAAGACATATCCTTTTGTTTAATGAAGAGATGTATACAATTAAAGCTGTTTTTTTCTTAACAGTGACCAATATTCTCTGGGCCAAGTTAAATAATTTACAACAGTCTCAAATTGTGGGAGGGATTCTTCAGTATCATGTTCTTGAAAATATGGTACAAGTATTACATGATTTGTACTATCAATAATATTCTTTCCATTATTTTATATCCTCCTCCATATTATTCAAATACGGCTTTGCTTTCCTTTCAAGAAGTGTTAGTTGATATTCCCTCTTTCTCTTTGTCTTTTAACTTTTCCCTCACTAACTCCAGTATGTTCTTAGAGTTTTCCTTTAACTCGGACAATGTTAAAGCTAACTTAAAATCAAGTAATGTAACTAACTTAAAATTGAGTACTGTAACTATGTGTCAACAAGATGATGTAAAGTTAAATTTATCTCTTCAGACTTTCTCCAGTGTTATTCAATTTATATCCTATTCGTGCAGGTCAATTTAACACAATCAGTATTCCTTTATAGTGTTTTATCAATTATCCATTTTTACTGATGGCTACTTTCGAAAATCTTCTACACAAAAATGTTTCACTCTGCCCTGAGCTCACATAATTCAAACTAATAACAGATAAGATATTGATGGTCACCAATTTACCTTAGTATGAACTTATTTGTCAACCGATTAATACTTAGTTAACAATATGAAAAGATATATCCTGGAAAGGCCCCTATTTTACTTTATACTATAACCCGCTTTATTAGAATTTTGTCATTACTCAAATATGAGGTGAGGGGTGATGTCATTACTCATATATGAGGTGAGGGGTGATGTCATTACTCATATATGAGGTGAGGGGTGATGTCATTACTCATATATGAGGTGAGGGGTGATGTCATTACTCATATATGAGGTGAGGGGTGATGTCATAACTCATATATGAGGTGAGGGGTGATGTCATTACTCATATATGAGGTGAGGGGTGATGTCATTACTCATATATGAGGTGAGGGGTGATGTCATTACTCATATATGAGGTGAGGGGTGTCATCACCCCTGTACCTTGGTGATACAGTCCTCAAATGTGAACAAAATACTAAATTCCTCGGAGTTATTGTTGATGAGAAACTTAACTGGAGAAACCACATACAAACCATTCACAGTAAAGTCAATAAACAGTGCAGTATCATGTATCACACTCGACAGTCACTCACTCTCACTGATACACTGTCACACACTATGGGAGGCCTCTGGCTCTTAAAAAACACAAATCCTGATTAATGCACAAAAGAGAGTTGTACGGACAATGACCTACTTGATAAACAGATCACACTAACGAACAATTTGCTAAATTGAAAATGTTAAAATTCGAGGATATTAACACCTACTGCTGTGCCCCATTTGTTTACAAATCTGTCAATCACTTGCTTGACAATATTTCCAGTTCCTGAATAATCAGAGATACAACTTAAGGCACCCAGAGCTACTAAGACCACCCCCCATGCGCTCCTCTCGGTCCCAGACCTCCATAAAATATTCCTGCTTTTATTGTACCACCAAAACCGTTTTATCAAAAATTATCATGTAGATAGATAGAAATTACCATTGCAATAAATATATTTGCCAACTTGACATGATACTGACAGCTCTGTCCTCTTGTTCCACCTTAATACAGCCCGTGTTGTACTGCTTCCCTCCCTTATCATATTTATGTATATCAACTCCACTGTAAAATATGTATATTATAATTTAAATAATATATAAAATAAAAATAAAATAAATCAAACAAATAATTATCGAAGTCATAATATTATGAGATGTTCTTATTACCACCATGCTATTGTACTATTCCAGATGATAATATATGTTACATAATACTTCCTTGAGATAAATGTACAGTATATATCAGGTGCCTACAAAGGAGCTCAGGCTTTCAACTGGATCAGCCATGATAATATTAATATTATTTTCGACTCTGTATCTGTGTTGTTCTGGCTAAATAAACTGTATCAATATCAATATATGAGGTAGGAGGTGATGGTAAAAGCAGATAGAACAAGCCCCTGCTGGCTGTTGTCACAACAATTAACTGCGTAAATCAGTTCAATAACGTTAGAATTATTTATATTTGCCAGGATTTTATCAATAATAGAGTTAAGTCAAAATATATATACTGTAACACATTCAGTAGGAATCATAGACTAACATTAATTCTTAATAAAAAGGTAATGAGTGTAGAGCAACGTGTAATGAAAACGAATGAAATACTGTATATTAATCCTCACCATGACCCCCTGGAGAAATCAGATTAAGTATTTCCAAATTATCAAAGATATAACGTTTAGTGCTGAGTAATATTAATGACATTTGAAATCTGCTTTATTGATTTTTTTAACCCAAGTTCTGTATTGCGTCAATGTCCATCGATAGTTTTGAGCATTTTATAATAAAAAAAAAAATTACACTACAAAATTTTTACTGCTTTATCATGCATCAACTGTGTAGGGATGATATTACTACAGCTCTGTTATGATAGACGTATCATAATATCTAAATAAGCAATCAAAGCTCCCGCAACAGAAATATCAACTATCCATGAAATATTATGCCAAGCTGTTGCTATTCAGTCTTCGCTAAATCTTATAGAAATTCCTGCGGTTCTTGATCAAGCTCTATTTACAAAGGCTACAGAAATATGATGGAATGACCTAAACAAGTTTGGAAGCATTGTACTCATAATGGGCAACTTTCACACAGTTTCCAACCTAATGTCAATAAGAGGTAAGATGTTTGGTGATGCGGCACTTCGCGATTAAACTGTTTAGTCTGGAGTCATTGCTGAGGGGTCCATCAGGAAGGTGATGGAAGGAAAACACTACAACTGGTCTGTCCGATTTCATAAAATAATGTTTAAAGCCTTGATGAGATTAGCGTGGGCAGGCTTCCTAGAGTGGGTTAAGACAAGCCACCCTGAAGATCTTTCCACATTCAGTAATAATTGTGCTGTGTTTGAGCTACAGAACGACGTGTGTCATGCAACATTCAGTTCCGCCTTAAATGACAAATCCTGTAACAGATTTCTCAACTTGTTTATGGATTACTTGAACGTGTTACGGCATGAGAGTCGATCGTTGTCTACACTCTGGATGACTTGAATAGAAAAGGTGGAGATCTTACTTGAACTACTTCATGCCGATCGTGAAAGGAACCTACATCTCTCCCTTGGTGCTTCGCAATGGACATAATTAACTGGGCATGATATCTTCCTATTTATTATGCTCAGATGACACAACTGAAGGAGACGTGTCTAGAGATGCATGGTCCCGTTACTATCTTACTGAACATCGAGCAGCAGCATTGCTATAACCGGGAGAACAAATCTCCGTCCACTCGGTTGGTCTCGGTCATCCAGCGCTTCAAGGTTCACGCATCAAGGGAGATAAGTCTGACGTTGCCTCGTTAGTTGATCTACAGAACAATTGGAAAAATACCTGTAATGAAGACCCTCCAGGTCATGTTAATATCTCCACTGGAACCTCACCATGGCCTGACATACGTGACAACTTGCTGAAAGCGCATGAAAAGGGGGGGGGGGAGGAACAACTCACCAAACTTTCCAGGAACATCTGAAAACAGGTGATTGTTATTATGATACTATCAAAAACCATAAAAAAACTTTCAGTGCACTCAAGCAGAGAATAATGAAGGTATCAAGTAAGGAAGTTATCCTGAGAGCTGAGAGAAGACTGTTGGGCAACATGGTTCTGGTAGCTCAGAATAGAACTAGACATGCGGGATGGTTTTTGCTGCCCTCTTGGTCTTTTACCACGGGCATGGGCGAATGCAGATGGTACAATAAAAAAAAAAAATAAAGCTGTAATGTCTAAGGCACTTGAAAACAATGTGTTGCCTGCTGAGGTGACCACTCAGCAATCTGCTTTAATTAATTATTGATGCCATGGGTCTCATTCACAAAGTCTACGGTGAGAATCTTACGTTCGACCAGCTGTCTGATAAAATGTATTGATTTTGATATTGAAACAGATATAGAGTCGATAATAATAACAATATTAACATGACTGAGCCAGTTGAGAACCTGAGCTCTCTTTTAGGCACCTGATATATACTATACATTCATCTCAAGGAAGTATTATGAAACATTTAGTATCATCTGGAATCATATAGGTAACATGGTGGTAATAAGAACATATCGGAATGGTACCACGGCTATCACTTTGATATTTAATTATTTTATTGTATTTAGTTAATTTTTATTTTGTCCGTTTATGTTATACGTACAGTACTGTATGTACATATCTTACAGTGGAGTTGATATACAGCCTAATATGATAAGGGAAGGA